GCGATGCCTGTCCCGCCGCCCGCGGGGCCGCGGCCAGCCGCCCGAGCAGCTGCTCCGGCCGAGGGGCGCTGCTCGTGGAGGGGGGCGCTCGGGCGGGGGCGCCATTTTCGCGTCGGTTGCCGAGGCTGGTTTGGTGCCGGAGCCCTGCGGCGCGGCGCGGCGGGCGTGCGGGGCGGCGGCGGGCCGCCCCCGTCGCCCCGGCTCCCCACCGCTTGCACCAACCGGGGAGGGCAGAGACGGCCCTTGGACGGCGTTTCCGAGCTGCGCCCGGCGCTGTCCGGGAAGGACGGCCTTTGCCGTGCGGGGGAGAGGCAGCCTGAGCCCGCTGTCGGGGCGGGACGCGTTACTAAAGCCCGGCGATGCGCCGTCCAGCCCGCAGACGCAGAACCCCTGACAAAGAAGAACACTTTCTGCTTTCCAAATAAAGTGTTCTGGCATTTCTGCACAGGAATGTAACTGTCTCGCGTGAACAGGCCGCTGCCGCTAGCTGGTGACGCGGAAGGCAGCTGGTCGGCGCGGTCGGTATTTATGGGACTGCGCCGTCAGTCGCCCCGTCGTGCTGGCACCAGTATGGTAGCCCAGCGGCAGCGTATAAGTAAAGCTGAAGCTCAGATCCGGGCTCAGCATCCGAGGTCCCACACGGGAACAAAAGCTAAATTTGTCGAAAGGGGTGTCGCTGTCACCCCGTCGGAGGGGTGGGACGGGGACTCGGTCAGCGCCGCGCAAGCCGGAGGAGAACCGAGCTGTTCAAGGACGGGCTCGTCTTTCGGAGCTCCTGCACCTCCACGGGCCTTTTAATCAGCGTGGGCCTGTGTCTGTGGGTCTGCGCCGGCGGCAGCGGTGGGTAGGAAGCCCCAGATGCCTGCGGGGTGCTGCACCAGCCTTATCTCGGGTGCCATAGGAAGCACTGTCTAGTTCTGCGGGGCTGCTCCAGCGTTTGTTCCAGCAGTCACCGGTTTGGCCACGTTCTCCCAGTCCTGGCGCTGTCTTCTTTTGTGCTGCCTTACCAGGTGAAAAAAACTACCTCGGAGTTTTATCTCACCGTCACATCCTTTCAAGAACATGCTATCGTCAGGACAAGATACTTAGTGTCCTGCTGTACAAGATTTCTGTTTTCTCCAGAGCACAGACCTCATCCCTCAGTTTCCCTGCCTGGCCAGTTCTTAGTTTGTGCAGGGTTACGGTGGCTTTCAGAACATCACCGAGGAAGCCCTCCATAAACCCGTTCAGGTCAAGCACCTTTCTCAACACCATTTCACCAACAGGAGAAAACAAGACATTTTTACCCATTGCATCAGTGTAGACGCATGCAAGTGCAGTAAGCTTAAGGTGCAGCTTCGCGGGATTCATTTCAGACGAACAAATAATCCCATCAAAAAGATCAAGCCCTGTCTTTGAAGAATTGAACACTTAAATAGCAACCTGTGTCCATCCAGGGAGGTGGAACAAAATATTGGACAAAGTTACAAAAATACATCAAAGGTTTATTTTCCCTATGAATATCCACAAGAGTTTCCTCTACATGTTAACTTGTTACATTGTCCGGATATCCCTTGCAATCTAGTAACTTAAAATGATTAAATAAAGCTAGGCTGGCCAAGTTCCCCATGCCAGGTTTAAAGCCTTACAGTATTTTTCTTAATGCTGCATGAAAGCAATAGAAGTTGAATGCAAACTCTGTGCTATCAAACTAACTTAAAAAACCATATCCACCACGCTCCTTTTGGATAGACTCACTGAGAGTCTAGCCCCCGTTAGCATGGAGGGAACTAAAATCCTGTGTACTGGTAAATGACCTGCAGGATTATGTCCTGTATCATCCCCAAGAGGTAAAAACTTGATATAAAAGCATATTGTCTGAAAATATCTGGATTTTAATTTTAGTCATTGCGTTAGCAGAGATTGCAGTGGTTGTAAATGTGTATTCTAAGTACAGAGTGGCAAGCCAAAATATAATATTGAGCATAATATCTAATATATTCCACTAGTCGTTCATATTTCTATTTTTTGCACGCATATATGTGTGTCATTTCAGGGGATTTACGTGCCTTTTAACAGGTAATCCATGCTTTGTATTATAGCAAAGTTCTAACGGCCCGGTGAAGAAGTCTATGCGAGAGAAGGCTGTGGAACGCAGGAACATTAATAAGGAGCACAACAGTAACTTCAAAGCGGGATACATTCCAATTGATGAAGACCGTCTCCATAAGACAGGGTTACGTGGCAGGAAAGGCAACTTGGCCATTTGTGTGATTGTTCTTCTTTTTATTTTGGCTGTCATCAATCTGATTGTGAGTATAATACTTAGGCTGTAGGCAACATTAGGACATATTTCATTTTGATGGTTTATTGGAGAAATAAAACTTATTCCAGTATGGCTGAGAAGGACTTAAAATGTACTGAAGGAGATTTCTCTTTTTTTCTCCTTTCTTTTTTGTTCTTTTGTAGTCTGAGCAAGATTAGATGGAATAATCTTGTAAGTTCAGTCATGATTATTTCGGTTATCATGGTTCCAGCAAGGAACCTACCATTAATGCAACACAGAATTAGGAACCTTGAAAGTGTCTCTCCATTCCCAAAACCCAGTAACAGCAAATGTGCAAAGTGTTATTAGCACAGTACAAATACATCCGGGATAAACTGTTATGCCAGAAACATTTTACATGTAATAACAGAGCTGCACGTGAGCATTCAGAATTAATCAGCCACTGCACTTTAAACCTTCATTGTTGTAACTACCACCTTTTTATTGCTTGATCAATGAGAAGTAGTGAATTATTTTTCATAATTGGACATCCACCTGTGAAGGTGCTTTCTTGTAGCTCAAGAGTAAGTATATCCTGAGCTGAGCTACTTTGTTCAGGATGTTTGTTTAGCTAATGATACCGTGGTTACCCTTAAACAGGAAAATGATTAAATTATGGATGTCATTTAATTTCAAATGTATATATATTTTTATGTATATACTAATTATTTTAGTTAATATTTCAGATGAGTCTAAAAATCATGCAAAATGCTTTTCATAATTAAATGTGTTCTGATGTTTCCAGTAGGAATTAAACAGACTAAAGTAAATGCACAGCTAAAGCTCACTTAAACACTAGCATTAATAATTCTTTCAAAACATCTACTTAATGCAATACTTGTTGTGAGAAGATCCAAACGACTAAAGTAATCTTTGAAAATGTGTGTTTCTCTTTCAGATTACGCTAGTTATCTGGGCAGTGATTCGAATTGGTCCCAATGGTTGTGACAGTATGGAGTTCCATGAGAGTGGCTTGTTGCGGTTTAAGCAAGTTTCTGACATGGGCGTGATACATCCATTATATAAAAGCACTGTAGGAGGCAGACGTAATGAAGATTTGGTGATCACTGGAAATAATCAGCCTGTAAGTTATATCATGAATTGAAAGTTCGTGAGCAACACTATGGAATTACACTCACAGTATTAATAAACATTATATTTGAAACATCATTAACTTCATGACTTTGTTTCTGAAGATTGTGTTTCAGCAAGGAACAACCAAGCTTAGTGTGGAAAAAGACAAAACTTCTATTACCAGCGATATTGGCATGGAATTTGTTGACCCACGGACACAAAATACCTTGTTCAGCACAGACTATGAAACTCATGAGTTTCATCTGCCAAATGGAGTTAAAATCTTGAATGTACAAAAGGCCTCTACAGAGAGGGTATGTCTCTTTTAACTACCACTTACTTTTTTAAAAGCTTATTACAGAACTGCCTTAGTTGTAGAATAAGAAAAAAAGTTTACTAATCTGATCTTTCAAGCATATTTAGAAATTTGACTACACGTAGCTAAAAATGCAGCTCCGAAAATGTAAATCATCCTAAAAATTGGAACAGAAATGAAAACTGACATCATTAAATGAGTGTAATATCCGGAATACAATGCCAAGTAGGCCTGTGTGTCTTTTTACTAATGTCCTGGTTTCAGCTAGGATAGAGTTAATTGCCTTCCTAGCTGGTACAGTGCTATGTTTTTGAGTTAGGTATGCCAAGAATGTTGATAACACTGATGTTTTCAGTTGTTGCTAAGTAGTGTTTAGACTAAAGTCAAGGATTTTTCAGCTTCTCATGCCCAGCCAGCGAGAAAGCTGGAGGGGCACAAGAAGTTGGCACAGGACACAGCCAGGGCAGCTGGCCCAAACTGGCCAACAGGGTATTCCATACCATGGGACGTCCCATCTAGTATAGGAACTGGGGAGTGGGGGCGGGGGGATCGCCGCTTGGGGACTAGCTGGGCATCAGTCAGTGGGTGGTGAGCAATTGCACTGTGCATCATTTGTATATTTCAATCCTTTTATTATTATTGCTGTTGTCATTTTATTATTGTTATCATTATCATTATTATTTTCTTCTTTTCTGTTCTATTAAACCGTTCTTATCTCAACCCATGAGTTTTACTTCTTTTCCCTATTTTCTCCCCCATCCCACTGGGTGGCGGGGTTGGGGGAGTGAGTGAGTGGCTGCGTGGTACTTAGTTGCTGGCTGGGGTTAAACCACGACAGCTAAGCATTTATCCATTTGTGCAGGGATAGCTGTTTCAGAAATAAAATGTCTATTAAAAGCTTCTCTGTTTCTAG